ACGTCACAAATTATTTTACGGCCACAACTAAAAAATTTTATAGGTCACAATTTGTTTATCGGTCACGGATAAAAAATTTTGTAAGTCACAAATTATTTCGAGGTCACAAATCAAAAATTTTGTATGTCACAAATTATTTCGAGATCACAAATCAAAAATTTGTTTCGTGACCTATTTTCTCACTTCTTCTTCTTCCAACACTTCATTCATTCGCTTAATTGGTCTTTGACTCTTTACATCTTTGTTTATTCTTCCAAGTCATCTTTCAATTATTTGCACTTTGGTCCCCGAACTTTATTTTTCTTTGATTTTAGTCAATTTTTTCACTTTTTTCTCCTAAATTCCATCACGTCCACCAATGTTATCCTACAAATCGTAATTTATATAAAATTAAGCCATATTAAAATAAATCTGTCAACAATTATTCATATTTTATGACCTAAATAAGTGTGTAAAATGCACTTATTAATTATGTTGACCATTATGAATATGCACCTCGAGCATTACATAGAGGTGATTCTCTAGGGCCTCTACTATCCTACATGCAAATGGAAGGAAGGTCGTCGCCACATACGCTTCCATGGCCACTACCAAGGCATGGCCTCGAGGGCCACTGTCCGCACCATCTCTCCCTCCATCAAGTCACCATCTCGGTCTTCCAAGGCAAACGCTGTGGCTACGCTATCCTCCACCAGATAACCACCATAATCCTCCAAGGCAACCATCCCCACCATGTCTTCCTCCATCTGTTGACCACCATGGTCCTCCACGACCACCACCGTAACCAAATTTTCACCACCATGGGGGCCTCATCACTATTCGCCTGCTAATTACTATGGCTACTTCACTGATGAAAAATCCCAATGGGTGCAAAATGACATGAGCTGGTACATTAAAGATTGTTAAATGGCGTTAGGTTCTTGATAAAGGATCATTTTTCTCTTTAGTTTTAGTTCCATTCTTTGTTTCAATTCATCCTTCATTACATGTAATTTTTGTATTTTCTTATTATTTGCTTCATCAATCTACAACAAGATTCCTATACATTTTTTTAAAAAAGAGTATGCCTCTTACACTATTGAATTATGCTACATATATAAAGTTGGGTTACAAAATTGGTTGACAAAATAACATTTACAACAATTATTTTAAAAATAAACTTTTAAATCATTTGAAATCAACGATCTGAATTTTGCCAACATACTTTGTAACTTAACTTTGTACAAATAACTTTATTGTATACTATTTCCTTCGCTGAAAACATATTTTTGAAACAGATTTAGAGGGCACCAATGTTCTTGAGACCAGTTAGAGTCCTATCGGGTGTCCTTGTTTCATCAAATTTCGATGTGTCCAACATATTCGATGGTAAGGCAAATGAAATTTGTTACCCTGCAAAAATATATATCTGCAACATTGTGACCATGTTTTATTAAGTATAATTTGTTTTTGAGAAAAAGTGCACTTCATTGTTATGTATTTACTCATAAATTGGAAACTGCTTTTATAAATCATTAATCATCGATGTTTTACTTAAATCTTAACTCTGATTTATCCACCTCGACTACAGAACTTGAAAATAATGTTGCGAATACCCGAAACACGTGACCAAAGTGTTTGAAAACAACATGAACATGAACTAATACACTTTCGTATCGAGGAGGCTTGAATTGGTAGCTCCTAAGCACCTTCACATGAATTCATTTTTAGAAATCAATGACGAGCAACATTATGTATACCGTTTGCCACTGCCACCTAATTCATCGGAAACAAAATTGACTATAGGCTACACAAGTAGTGACTTAATCGAAATAAATGTGAAAAATTGGGGACTAGTTATGGGAAAAACAGTTCCAGCTTGAAAACTCTTCCTCCATAAGGATACTTGGCCTTCAGCCACGAATCATTTTTTGAAATAAAACTCAAATGGGGATGAATTTATTACTGATGCAGCTGGTTCCCTGAGAAGGGGTCCCTCATAATTCCTTGAGGTAAATTTCTGTTACCGTGAATTCAATCTTGGAAAGGGGAAAATGGATTTTTTATTTTTATTTTTTATACAATTTCTTCCTGTTTGTCGATAAAGGAGAAGGAGTTTCGTATTGCACATATACCCATTAAAAACTTCAATCGCTTGTTCACACGTGCGTATGCTGGTTATGAAATACACATAGTTTAGTTGGGGGTGAGATTCTCTGATATCCGATGAACATTTGTTTAATTGCTTTTATTTCAAATGCAGATACTTGGGCAAATTCTATATGGTGTTCAAGGTCCTCTAATTCGGAGAAATTAACGTGCATTATCACTGCGTTATTATGTGTTTGGATGTCTACACTTCAGTCTTTTAGCAGTAAGAATGTGAGTTAATCTTGCACTCTCAGTACTTCACTGTCATGAAATTGTGTTGAAATTCATTTCTGGTTTTTCTCTATCTATTAGTTCTTCTTTCTCTGATGCATTTGCAAAAATCTAATTAATTTCTGTGGATTTATTTGTGAATTAATCTGTGGTGTTAGAAAGATGAATTGATCTTTTCAGTTAGACATTTTTCGATCAATTAGAACAAAATTCTTGGAACATATTGGAAATATTGTTTCAGATGATGACTTAAAAATTAGAAAGTCAAGTGTAAAGGGTTACCTGCTATACTTTAGAGAATTTTAAATCAAACCCTCTCTCCCTTTTTTCCTTATTCCTTAACTTCGAAAAACAATAAACGAAAGAGAAATAAGAGAACATTGTACTTGGTTGATAAAAGAGAGCATATATTATTGCTTATCAATTTTAATACATTGTTATCTAATCTTCAGATAATTAAAAAGTAGCAAACATTGTAACTCAAGACCTCTATTTGTCACATCATTCTCTATTTTGATTAGATTTAGTATTTCTTAGCTAGCTCTTGTAGCAGAGAGGTGATTGTTTCAGAGGTTAGTGGTTTCTGGACACAGTAATCAAGACCAGCTTCTGTGAATGCTTGTTTCTCTGAGTCCAACCCCCTTGAGGTCACTCCTACAATCATGTTGTTGACACCCATGGCTCGAAGCTCTTGTGTTGCCTATTAAACAAAGAATAGTGAAAACTATTTCGCTACAATAAAGATGAGTTAATGAGATATTGTTGCAAGTAAATGATTATCTTATGTGGAATAGCATTTGTTTGAAGATATTAATGTGAATGTACTACAAAATTCAGTGGAGAGATGATAATAATAGTATGTTTAAAAGCATAAAATACCATTGTTGCACCAGAGTAGAAGGAATTGTTTTTAAAATGACGATGGGCAAAGAAAGATTTTTAGTGAAAGTTAGGCTTCACGTTTCTCTCAATGGAGATTTTACCTATAAAATATGTTGCAATTGTAAATATTTTGTATATATGCATTGTTGAATTTAAGCTTCAAAGGTTGATCTAACCTTAGGTCCATCCATGACTGGCATTTCCTTATCCATAAGAATAAGATCGAAATGTTTTCCAGAGACATAAAGATCTACTGCTTCTTTTCCATTTTCAACCGCATGACTTTGACATCCAAATTTATTCAAAAGCACCTTATGAATTCTTCGAATAATTTTATCATCATCCACAATAAGCACGGAGAATTTCTGTCCCAAATTCAAGATGCTCTTGCTCGTCATTTATCCTGGAAAATACTAACACCATTTTAGCCCATTTGATACTAGATAAAATGTTAGAAGTTCACTAAAGCATATCAAAGTGTAATTGGTTAGGAGTCCTAGACAGTGTTGAACAGTAGTAATAAAGGAAAAGAGTTATTCTTTTATCCATTGTACCATTACTGCCTATCAACGTACCTTCGTTGTCTTGTGAGTACCTTTTGATGGAATCAGCTAGTCACCTCTCAAATGCGCAAGTATGATATCAAATAATAATAAAACTCAAATGACCTATGATGTCGGCGTTGCTACACTGGCCTTTATATAAGAGAGAGAAGTGGCTTTCTCGATCACCTTTTAGAGAGAAGGCTATCCAAACTATTAAGAATAGCAAAAAGCGAGATCTCCGCGCCTACAGCCAGATTCTTCAATTGTTTTTTGTAACTTTTGCTTGATGTATTACTTAAAGTTATTGACAAAGTTTTCACAGAGATATATAGAAGATTATCTGATGCTAGGATTTTCTTTCCTCTTTAAGGAAAATGTATGTAATGAGGAGTGATTGTGCGTATCTAAGCAATTAAAGTTTTGACATTGTCATTGATCATTATTTTGTTACAATAGATTTACAATTTAATTTTTTTTTTCATGTAATCTATACGGTGGATTTGCATCATTAAGTGAGAAGATTATCATTAAAAACATAAGATTTGGAATTCTTTATTTTAGCATCATTCGTAATTTTCCATTGCATTATTAATTATCTAGTTTTGTTTAACATCAAATTGACATTATTATGACACAAGGCATTGACAACAAAAGAAAAATCCGTCAATTGCCTCAACCCTATGTATTCTTAAGAGTGATGAAGGAACATATGAAAAGTAACATGACTATAGTTGAAACATAATTGGATTTTCCATTGGATGTAGCAATAGCCAATAGTTGACTTAAAAGAATTCACTTGCTACTGCTTATATTACCTTTTTCCATATCATGAAATGCAGCAACAAAGCACGTATAAATAATATATGTTCGTGCATATATGTGAAACCTTGAAGATGCTTTGCTGGCCATATAAGTAGATTTGTAATGGCTTACCTTTGGTTGCATAGGAAATGTTCTGCCACTAAGTTAACCATGAAAAACCTATCTGTTGGAGGTCTAATAATGCTAAGTTTTGAGTACACAATACTAGTGGAGGATCTTGCTTTGCATGATTTTGTTGGCAGAATTGGTTCTTTGATACAGTTATCCTTTGTGGAGGCTGGAATTGAAGGCTTAAAATTATTTTGTATAAATAAAAAATCGAAACACTCAATTAAATAGCAAAACTATAAATGGCATGATCGAAGGAAATACAGAACGAAACATACGCTGACATTATTTATGATGTTTCCGTAAAGCAATACATGTAGCCCAGGTTTGAAATGCTTGAGATAGTACTGTTGCCGTAGTTTTAACTCTTGCAAAGTGATAATTACTATTTTTATTGATGTTGCCTTGCACTGCATATATGAGATGACATACTTGTGAACAAGGTGTCAGCTTCATATTACTTCAAACTGGTTTCTTTTCGACAATACTAACTGTTGTAGTCCTCCATAACATGCTTTCAAAAAAGGAATTTCATTATTGTACAGAAGCAATTTGTTTCGGTAGAACCACTTTTAATAGTTTCTTCCAAAATGTTGGAATTAGGGAGTTGTTTTCATATTATGATGTTTCTTCTCGAAAAATAAATTATCATTAGGCAGGGCGCCCTTTCCCCTGTACTCGCAGAGGAGCCGCAAATAGATTTGATAGAAGCTCTCTCCATCAGTCCGCCGTTCCCTTTCTATGTAGTGCTGGGAAGCCGGTTTGAAATGCTTGAGATGGTACTGCCTTCGTAGTTTCGACTCTTGCAAAGTGGAAATTACTATTTTTAATCACGACCATACATATATGAAATGTATACTTGTGAACAAGGTGCTAGCTTCATATTACTTCAAACTGGTTTCGTTGCGCCAATATTATATATCGTAGTCCTCCACAACCTGCTTTCAAATAAGGAATCGCCTCATCCTTTATCGCCAACTTTTATTTGGCTTACTTTCCAGAAATTCAAGAGCACTTTTTTTTTCTTCTATATTTAATTTCGACGTTGTACATTTCTCTTTCAATTTCTTAACTTTAGGTTGCAAATCCAAAACGCCTAATGCAGCCTTCATATTTTTTCTTTACAACATCCTCACCCTTCTCTGTTTTACCTCAATATCCAACTCGATTGATTTATTTATTTCCATTGATAAAAAAATTTAAAAAAAATTCAAAGCCATCATTACCATCGATAAAAGTTGTGATGAAATGTGTATTTAAAATTAATGGTTGCCCAAGCAATTCTATTTCTACTATCTTAAACAAGAACTTAATATCAATGTACATCGGAAGGAAGGGTAAAGACAACCAAGTATTATTAATGGTTGACCTAGCAATTCTTTCTCTACTTTCTTAAACAAGAACTTAATTTCAATGTACATCGGAAGGAAGGGTAAAGACAAACAAGTATTACTGTGCATTGAAAATGGGGAATAATACATAATTACAAATGTTTTAAGGAACACTTTCAAAAATAAGAAATTTGTGAAAAAGTTTAAAAAATCGAGTGATCACCTGATAACATATCAATGTCACAATAACATACAATGTACATAACAATCACAAATCGCATAAAGTCACAATCACAAAGATACAAATTGTAAGTTATAATTACAATTTAGTCATAATCAAACATTTTCTTAGATCACATATTATTAATTTGTCACACGTTGCCCATTATATCGATTACATCTTAGTTA